AAAGGTTGCAGCGGGTTTACAGTCGTTAACAGTGCACCAATTTAGCCGTGAAAAATTTACCACGAGCGATTTGGGGAACCAGAAGGAAAAATATCCTCAACAGAACGTAACCGAATGTAGCAGGGTACGTAATTCGGGTACGTACGTACGATTTTCACGCACTCTCACTTTCAGCTCCACTCCACTTTCAGTACTGCGCCTTACCAGCGCCCTCCTTTCTTTGCCATACACGCTTCCGCCATGCACACCACTCTCATTTCGCTTTCATTGCCAAACTCTCTTGATCCGCTTGTAATCCCCCATCGCGCGCGCGATCTTGTTTTTGTTATTGTTGTTACATGCCTGTGTGTGTGTGCGTGCTCGCGCGCGTGTGTGTGTTTGAGTAAGCACACCAGTGCGTGCTCAGGGGACTGCAGCGGCAGCAACCCGGGCCCGAGGGTGGCGGCGGCGGCCCGGGCCCGAGGGTGTCCACACAACAGCGCACCCCGCTGGGCGACGACGTCGAACACGTCCTTAGTGACAGGGCGACAAGGCTCGCTGAGCACATCCTTTACACGCAGCCGCAGCGCCCAGGATTCGCCTATCGCCTAAGCACAGCTTGATACCGAAAACTTCGGAGCGGGGGCAGGGTGAGAGAGAGGGAAGAATGGAGAGTAGAGGGAGGAGAGACGGGGAGGGGGGGGGGTGAAAGGACCCGCCCGAGGAGGATGCTGGAGTTGGACGGCGCCTGCGTGGAGATAACGGACAATCAAGGCGGTTGAATGACGACTGGATAAGCTTCTTTGAAAATCCTCGAGAAGGGCCTTATTGTAGCAGGATTCCGCAAAGGCAAAGCCGAGGACTATAGGGCGATAGATCGTCCTCGCCGAGGTGGCGGCCGTCGTCGCAGCCCCCGCTCCGCTATGTTTGTTGTTGACTGGGGCGGGGGTGACGTCATCACGACGTCATCATCATGTCATGTCCGTGTCATCATCACGTCGTCCGAGTGTCAAGCGGCGAGGATCACACACCCAGCCCCCTTCTCCCCCCTTGGAGTCCACGAGAGAGTCTTCTCCAGGTCGCCGCCGCGCGATAAAGGGAGCTGCTGCTGGGGCCCCTCTCTGGCGGGCCGGGACCTGCACCTCCCTCCTCCACCGCGGCGGCGCGGCAGCCACGCCCCCCGCTCAATTACCATAATGTGAAGAAGGTCTCCGCCGGTGAGCAGTGACTCACCAGCTCCCCGCGGCCCCGCTCACCATGACCAGGCTGGCTCACCACCGAGGCCCTCCCAGGAGGGCTCACCGGTGCTTTGTAAAGAGGTGCAGTGAATCAATGTGGGGTGAGCGAAGAGGCAGCGACGGGGCGCGGGGGGCGCGGGGCGCGGGGCGTGGACCGCGGACCGCGGACCGCGGGGCGCGGGGCGCGGGGCGTGGACCGCGGACCGCGGGGCGAATAGCGCAGGGCATGAGGTGCGGGCGGGGTGCAGTGGAAACTGGAACGCGCGACATGCCCAGCGTGGTCGAAAACCATAGTGATGGGGCTTTGTGGAGAGGAAAAGGGGGGGGGGCATTTCCTCTTCCCTCATGTCCCCCTTCCTGTTGCGATCTGCATCTCTCCTCG